GAAATCTTTACGAGTACTACCATTTAATGATTAATAAAGTCAATACAATGTTAAGTTTTATAGGCATTTAACTGAGCACTTCTAAATTTTTATTTCAAAGTTTTCCTTTCATAATTTGGAGCCAGTAATTTTCCCCCAGTCTCAAGCAGACCCTTAAAAGTCCTATAGGCCTAAATACTGGGCTTACAGTGTGCATTCATCAAATCCAGGCCTGAGTTGGGTGTGGTGGGCCATGCCTTTAATCCAAATGATTCTTGAGACTCAGACAGGTGGATTGCAAGTTCGAGGCCAGTCTCAGCAACTTAACAAGACCCTGTCTCAAAATTTAAAAAATTAAAAGATCTAGGGATAAAGTTCATTGGTAAAGTACCCCTGGGTTCAACTTCAGTAAAAATAAAAATGAAAATAATCCAGGCCTGAGGCAGCATGTTCCCAAGGTTGCATCTGAAAGGGCAAGTGAAAGTCCCTCAGGAAGCAGAAAGGAAAATGTTCAACGCCAGAAAGAGGATAAAGTGCTCCCACCTGATAAACTTGTGTAATGACTTCAAAGTCCTGTGTCCACTGACCCATCCTGAGGCCACTTATTCAGATCACTGTGGCAAGTGACATCAATGAAGGACTTATTCCCAGGAACCAGACTTTGGTCTAAGCAGTTCATGTCTGGGAGGTACAAACTTTTATTGCAATCTGGGAGGTACAAACTCTTGCTGTTGTTGTGATTTGACTCTTCTTCTTTTTCCCATTTTACAAATGAAAAATCCTGAGATTTAGGAAAGCCTAGATTTGCTTGCCTAGGAGCTGGCGAGTGAAGAGCTGAGTTACACCTCTAGCATGCCCATGTGATGCCATGCTTGTACTGGGCTGGATTCCTCTGAGTCCCCAGCCTGAGGTGACACTTGTTATAGGGGTGATCTCCTCACCAACTTCCGGAAGCAGCCCCTTCCTGCTTGAGACCCCTTACAACACCCTGTAACTCTCTGGAAATTAGCCAGTCAGTGCCCAGGTGCGAATGAACACAAAATAGATTCAAAAGAACAGCACACTGAGGAGCTGGGGTTGTGGCTCAGAAGTAGAGCACTTGCCTGGTATGTGTGAGGCACTGGGGTTCGATTCTCAGCACCACATATAAATAAATGAACAAAATAAAGGCCCATAAAAAAAGGAATCTCTTTTAAAAAAAGAAAGAAAGAAAGAAAAGAACAACACTGAGACCAAAGAAAGAAGCTCTGAAATGATTGCAGTATCCCTGCATCCTCCCTCTATCTCTCTCTGTCTTTCTCTGTCTTCCTTTCTCCCTCTCTCTCTTTCTCAAAGATGTTTAAAATGGTCTTTACTTGGCAGGAAAGCCTTTCCAAGCATCTTACGTAACCAGAGAATCATAATGGGAAAATATGATAAATATGACTGCATAAAAATGTAAAACTCCTTCATGGCAAAAGCTGGCAGACAAGTAAGAGCCAGGAAGCCCCGCTCCAATGAGCCAGTAGCCTTAACTCCCACTAGTGCCCTTCATCCCCAGCCCCGAGTAGGGACTGACTTTTTTCCAGTGGCTGCAGCCAGTGGGCTATCTCGCTCTGAGCCCCTCTCCAAGGGGGTCCTAGAGGTACACCCAAGAGTTCCCCAGGGAACCCTTCAGTTGAGAGCCCTGTGTCCCACCCACCTCCCGCCCCCCCTCCTTTTTCCTGTCCATCTCTCTCGCCAGCCACCACTAGGTAGCACTAGAACACCACAAGAATTTCCTTTGTCTCTGGCAAACGGACAACAAAAACACCATTAAGAGACGTTTACCGGGTGCTCTTTTCCTCTTTCAAAATGCAAAGAGCTTTTCTGGGGGCGGGGGAATGTAAGTTCTTATAGCTTTTATTAGCAGCGTCATTACAAGTAAAACACGTCGTTAAGGAAACTGGCCCCATTTTTTAGCCACTGCGAGGTTACCTTCTGAGCATGTTTACTTCACTAAGGCCACTTTCTCCCTGAGCCAGAGGAGAAGCCCTTCCTCTGGTGGCAATTGCTTGAAAGGTTAAACCCAATTGTGGATCAGGGTGCTCAGAGCACTCCTGCTCAAGGTGAGATGCCCAGTGTGGACATCTGTGTATGGTCAGCACCTGGCCCTCTGCAGACACCTGGGAAATATTTGTCACTACAGAGCCAAAGCTTGAAGTTATGATCAGCAGGAAGGATGCTTCCTAGGGTGGCCTTCTGAGCACCTGATTACCCTCAGATCTGGGGGGACTCACTTCCAGCCCCAGCATCTCCCACAAACCCCTTCTTCATCCACTTAACCATCCCGGGCTGTCTCAGAAATCACTTTCCCCTCATGAATATGAATATAGGCAAGAGGGGAAAAGGTGATCTGGAGTCACTTTGACTTTGGTATGCTTATGGAGCAGAAGTAGAATTCAGGAAATCCAGTTGGGTACGCGCCCCTCCTGCCCCAGCAACCCACATTTTTTTGCCCCCAAGTCTCTGCATTTGAGCCAACGTGTAGGGTCTGATGCCATTGTAGAAAGACCTCCAAGCCAGGAAACCAACCCCTTCCGCAGGGTCTGCAAACAACTTCATTTCAGTTTAGTCATATAATTCTCCTTCACAGCTTCTTAGTCATTCCAAAAATAAAAGTGGGGAGGGATAATATTATAAAACCCAGGCTTATTTGTCTCTTCTGAGAAAAGAAGGAGTTAAAAGTATATTATGAACCAGGGAAACTATATCCTGTGGGGTAAAGATCAATTGGGGGTTTGGGGTGGTTTTTTTGTTTCTTTGGTGCTGGGAAATGAACCTGGGACATTCTGCCACTGAGCTACACGCCCAGTCCTTTCTATTTTTCATTTTGAGACAGTCTCACTAAATTGTCGAGACTGGTCTTGAACTTGCAATCCTCCTTCCTCAGTCCCCCAAGTTGCTTCGATTACAGACATGTGCCACTGTGCTGGGCAAGACCAAGAATGTAAATGAGGAAGAATGTTAGGATTTGAAGCTGACTGACTTATTTTGTGTTAATTGTAACATTCTAACCCTACTGTTCTAAGCGCCATTTGCTTTGAATTTATTACCAAGCCATCCTACAAAAGCCCTCTACATTAGTACCCCAACTGTTGGTTTATGAGGGTGACTATCTCTCTGGTTTTGTCAGTATTGGGTATTATCAACATTTTAGTTTCTAACAACTTGAGAAGCTTTTTAAAAATACCTGGTTGTTGAGATTCCTATTTAGTTTTGAATAAGGATTAGAATCTTCACGGGATTTTGAACACTTATCTTTCTTTTTCTGTGAATAGGCCTACTCACATCCCTTATCCATTTCTTCTGGAGGATTGTTCATTTTGTAAAGACTTATGTGAGGCTTCTGCATATTCAGAAAGATAGGCCTTTGTAGGGTGTGTGTGTGGCAAATATCTTTTTTTAAGTTTGGCAGTTTTATTTTACTTATTGGGTATTTTTTGCCCACAGAATTTTCTAGTTTTGATGAGGCCCACTTTGTTCTTCTCCGCAGCTACTAGATGAATCCTACTCCCTGAGGGCCTTCCTAGCCTCTAATGAGGCATCAATTCACCCACATTTTCTTTCTGATTTTTTTATGATTTTAATTTTTATGCTTACATCTTTGAACCCTGTGGAATTTATTTTAGTATAAAAAAAATGATGTAGAGATTTCCTGTTCCTGAATGATGACTCAGTTGCTCCAGGGTCCTTGGTTAAACAGTCTCTCTTTCTTGTTTTCCTCCCTCCTGTCCCTTGGGGGCCATGTGACTCTGGTGACATTAGTGACACATGGCTTCCCCCAGGTCTGCCAGGACCCAGAAAGGCCTCTGTCCTCAGGGTAGCTGACAAAATCCTGTCACTCTTGGACAGAGAGGGACCTACTGCTCCTCTAGACACCCTCCCCAGCCTGAAAGAAGCGGGACACACTCCACTGTCTTTCCTTAGAAGGAAAAAGAAAAAAGAGCAACTCAGGGAGGGTTTCTCATTATACACAAAGTGGTAACTTAATCACACGCGGATTTCTGAGTGCACACACACACACACACACACACACACAGGAGACACCCATGTATGTACAACCATGCATGCATGTGCACCCCTGCCACCAGATATAATGAGTTTCTCCAGCAGAGCCATCATTTATATAGGAATATAAACATTTTTAAAAGGAGGTGCTGGGGATTTAGCTCAGCAGCAGAGCACATGCATGCCTAGTATGTATGAGGCCCTGAAAAGAAGGAGGAGGAGGAGGAAGAATTTTTTAAATGTGAACATCTGTAGTGCCAGCTACTTGGGAAACTGAGGCAGGAGGATTGCTTGAGCCCAGGAGTTCAAGCCTGGCCTGGGCAGCACAGCAGGATTCTGTCTCAAAAAAAGAAAAAGAAAGAAAGAAAACCCTCCTAGAATTAAAAGACCCAGAAGAACTTTGCTGCCAAACTCTGGGATGGAGTGGGAGATTGAGAAAGTCTGGTTATAGGCATTGTCACACAGCAGATGTGCAATTTAATATCTTCCCCTACACAGGAGTAAGTTAAGTCCTTCTCCTATTCTTTCCTCTGTTTCTTCTTCTGGTTCAGCAAGCCCAGATTTAAGGCAACAAATGTGTTAACCATTTCACCTTGTCCCTTTATCTCTTTGAATTTTTCTAATAAAAATGTTTTGTCGGGCTGGGGATGTGGCTCAAGTGGTAGCGCGCTCGCCTGGCATGCGTGCGGCCCAGGTTCGATCCTCAGCACCACATACCAACAAAGATGTTGTGTCCGCCGAGAACTAAAAAATAAATATCAAAAAAAAATTTTAAAAAAATGTTTTGACATCTGGTAGTGATGCACACCTGTAATCCCACTGACTCAGGTGGCTGAGTCAGGAGGATCACAAGTTCAAGGCCAGCCTGGGCATCTTAGTGAGACCCTGTCTCTAAATGAAAAATAAAAAGAAGTAGGGATGTAGCTCAGTGGTAGAGCACTCCTGGATGCTAAACCCAGTACACACACCCCCACAAAAAAAAGAAAAAGTTTTATGATTTTATTGGAAATTTTTAAAAAATCATGAAAATAGACAATCCTGAAAATGTAGATTTTTAAAAACTTTACAGCCATTTCCTTGCCCTGTGAGAAATAATATCTCTAAATTATGGTTGATGTCCTTCATCTTTTTCCTGCTAAAGCATTTCCCAGTAAATACCTAGCAAGGCAGTTGTCGGTGCTCAACGGCACACCGCTGCCCTGCAGGAACCCAGGGGCCTGGGCTGACCTGAAGCTGTCTCACCTCTCACCTTGACCTCCCAGAAGCATTGTTTGATCCTTTCTGGAGACTTCCAAGGTAAGAAGCAGCCCTACCTCCGGCCACCCTACTCTGCAGACCAGAATGGGAGCAAGTGTTGCTGAGGACCCTCCCAGACCAGTTCTCTTGCTCTGCAGGCTCAGGGTGGAGGAGCCTGCACCCTATTGTGGTCAACAGCACAGAGGGTGACTAAGGCAAAAAGGCACAAGATGATCCCAACTTTCTTCCTGACTCTGTCCCCACCAGGCTGTGTGACCTCAGACAGGACACCCAACCTTTGTGGGACTGCCCTCCACCTGAAATTGTGGTAGAGGTTGTCCTCCATGATGTTAGGAGACAAAGGTTCCCAACACCTGCCTGTTCCTCCACATGGTCCCACTTTGATGACCTCCAGGGGACTTGCCCTCTCAACTCTACCCCCACCGTTTTCCCCACACAGTTAATCCTGTCTTGGAAGACCAGGACTAACATGCATATTATGTGAAATAAAAATATAGGCTAAGTGAACTACACTGTCTTCCTTTAGCAGGTTCCAGGAGTCCATCACATAGCAAGGTGGGCTGTCATCCCTCAGAGAAGCTGAGATTGAGGCACAGAAAGAGACCTATGTGATGTCACATGTGGTAGGAGAAGGCATGGTGGTGTCGGAGACTTGCTCCAAATTGGAAGTCACGGTTGGGGATGGCACATAGGCTGCCTCTGCTGTGGGTGCTGCTGGAGCTCCTTGGACCAGTAGTAGTACCCTTCAGTCAATCCTTCCCCAGCCTGGGAAACTCCAGGCAGGCCAGCCAGCCTGGGCCACAGGGCCCTGGCACAAGTCTGGAAGGACACACACCACTGTAGTCAGGCAGACTCTCTGCATGTGCAATGATGGGAAGATATAGTGCCATCTTTGAATTTTTTACAATAGTGGGTTTTTTTGAGTGTTTGGTTTGGTTGGTGCTACAAGGTCTCACTACATTGCCCAGGCTAGCCTTGAACTTGTGATCCTCCTGCCTCAACCTCCCAAGTAGTTGGGATTATAGGTGTATACCACCACGCCTGGCCATAATGGCGTTTTATCAGGAAAAGAAAAAAAGTAGAGATGCTTTCATTTTCTAAAAGTTGCGTGGGAGTATGGAAGGAATGCTGGTTGGTGCAGCCACAGGAGTCAGGGTGAGTTCATGGAGATGGAGTGTCGGTGGGACAGATTCAGAAGGATGTCTAATTGGTGTGCTCCAGAGGGCTGTGGGAAGCACACGCATGACCCTGAGGACCCAGGGCCTAAGGAAGGGACCACAGGGCTGAGGCAGGCATTGCACTAAGGACATTACTTGGAGTTGACTCCAGGCCTGATGGAGCAGGGGCCAGTGGGGGTCAAGTCCATCCCAGTCTCAGGCTTCCCTTACCTTATCAGTGGCTGTGGGCAAGGTTTGAAGGAGCTAGAAAAAAGAAGGCTGAGGAGGAGCCTGTGAAGTTGGGGTCTGGATATTCAACCACCCTGACCCCTCATTCAGGCCCAGGTGACTTCCCACATCAGGAACAGGCCCCCTGGGCTACTGTGGCTGTTGCCAGGCTACTCACAAAAAGGACTGTCAAATACATGTGGAAGGGGAGTTAGAAAGGACAGACAGAAAGACAGAAAGAAGCAACAACCAAGAGAGACAGAGACACTCAGAAATATTTATTAAGGGACCATAGAAAGAGACACGGAGAGAGAGAAAGAGAGAGTTAGGGAGACAGAAGAGTAAAGAATGAGAGACAGAGACAAAGGGAGAGAGACAGAGAGACTGAAGGCAAGACCTATGTCCACTCATTTGCTTCTTAGGAGCAGAGAGAGAGGATAGTACAAATCAAGAGGTGGAAAGAGAAAGAACAGAGCTGGAGAGGAAATAAAGGGGGTCCCCCTGTCAACATCATGAGAACAAACATTTGCCATCACTTACAAACATTTGCTTAGCACCAACCTAGATGCTCCAGGAAACAAAAAGGTGCAGGCCCGGGTCCCGTGCTACCTAGAAGGGACATCACCCCCACACCCGGGAAGGCTTAATAACGGGCTCAGGCAGCCCTCCCAAGGGCTGGGCGGGAGGTAAGGTAAAAGGGCTGCATTTGAGCTGCCTGCTGGAGGGCAGGCAGGAGGGAAGGATAAGTGTCTGGGAGGGAGGCCTGGCATCGGCAAAGGTGTAGAGGTGGGAGTCAGGTACAACAGGAGGGCTTGAATGCCAAGCTCAGGAGGCTGCAGGGTGTGTGGTAGAAGCTGTGTTTAGCCAGACTGGGGGGAGCACAGAACAAAATGGACACGAGGGAGGTAGCACCCCCCCTGCAGCTCCTTCCCAACACCCCTGTCTCTTTTCCCCCCTCTTTTTCTGCAGTGCTGGGGTTGAACCTGGGGCCTCCTTCTGTGTCTCCACCACTGAGTTTCACTTCCCATCTGACACTTCTCACCTCCTGGCCTTTGATTATGCAGAACCCCCACCTGGAAGCCCTTCCCTTCCCACAACCCTTTTCAAGGCCAATGCGGAGGCCCAGTTTAAGGCTCTTCCCAGGAGTCTTCTCTTCCAGAAGCCCCCAGGCCAGGACAGATGCTCCTGGGCTTGATCCCAGTCCAGGAGCCCACCAGAAATCCTGGTCTGAGCCAAGTCATGTTCTTGACCAAGACCAGAAAGCACAATTTGGCCCCATCTGCATCTTTGCCTTACCACACCCAGCATTTGCCTCTCCCCCGCAGCTGTCTGGCCTGAGTATCCAAATCCCCAAAGAAAAGGAGAATGAGGTGGGGAGGGGTGGAGTGACAGAGTGGCACCCATTTGCCTAGAGGTGCTTTGGGCTGGTTGGTCACAGAGCAGTGACACATTGCCCAGCGCAGAGGGAGCAGCACTGGGGATAATTGCCTGGTCAGAAGAGCCTTCACGGAGACAGCCTGCCTCTGCCTTAAGTCTTTAGGGGCTGGGCTGAGGACTAGACACGGCCTCCTCCTCAGACCCCTGGAAAAGGAGAAAGAACTCCTGGGGCCATCTGGCAGCTGCCCCCACCCTACCACAGCCATGGACAGGTTCCGCTTGTTTTTCCAACACTTCCAGAACAGCTCCGAGTCTGTGATGAACGGCATCTGCCTGCTGCTGGCCGCGGTCACCATCAAGCTGTACTCCTCCTTCGACTTCAACTGCCCCTGCTTGGCGCGCTACAACACCCTCTACGGCCTGGGCCTGCTGCTCACGCCCCCGCTCGCCCTCTTCCTCTGTGGTCTCCTGGTCAACCGGCAGTCTGTGGTGATGGTGGAGGAGTGGTGCCGGCCCGAGGGGCTCCGGAGGAAGGACTCGGGCATCATCTGGTAGGATCCCACACCTCTTCTCTCAGCAATCCCTGGGCACTGTCAGGGGCTCCCCCACCCAGCCCCCTCCTTCCCCAACTTCCTTCAGCTCATAGAGACCCAGTAACCGGTTTCCATCTGGAAAGATCTACATTTTTGCAGCACTAGCGATTGAACTCAGGGCCTAGCACATGCCAGACAAGCACCCTACTACCAAACCACATCTCCAGTCCCTTTTTTTTAAAATTACTTTATTTTGAGAAAGACTCTTACTTGGTTGCCCAAGCTGACCTCAAACTTGCCATCCTCCTGCCTCAACTTCCCAAGAAATACATGTGTAGTTCTGTTCCTATCATTGGTCACCTTTCCATGACTAATGCCACAAAAATATGAATGAGACAGGGTTCCCAAGAATTCCCCAAGCCACATCTGTCACACTGGCCGTGGATTTTAACTTGCCACATTCACCAGGGGTAACCATGGCACGCAGAGCAGTTTTCTACATGTAATGAGAAGCAGTGGTTTACTTAAAGGCTGTATGCTCTCTCCTACAAGTTCCCCAAGGACAAGGATCTCACCTGTAGCACCCCTGTGACACGTGCCCTGTATCAAAATCAGCCGATGATCTTGGCAATTCGCAATGCTCACCAGCCCCTGCTGCACTCCAACCTGGAGTCAAGCTCTGTTCTGCTAAGGGCCTCGTGAGCATGGCCTCTCTGAATTCTCTCCTCAGCCCTGAGTCCACTCTTTGATAGGACCCATTTTTAAGGATGAGACCTGGGGCACAAAGAAGTTAAGTTTCTTGTCCAAGCCCTCACATCTAGGAAGTGGCAGTATTCAGACTCCAACTCGGGCTCACTCCACAGTTGAATTCTGCCTGCCCTTTGTGACTCCTCCTTCCTCTGCTCCCAGGTACATGTGCTCCTCTGTGCTGCAGAGAGCGCTGGCTGCCCCCATGGTCTGGATCCTGCTGGCCCTCCTTGATGGAAAGTGCTTTGTGTGTGCCTTCAGCAATTCTGTGGACCCTGAGAAGTTTCTGGACTTTGCCAACATGACCCCCAGCCAAGTGCAGCTCTTCCTGGCCAAGGTGCCCTGCAAAGAAGATGAGCTGGTCAGGGACAACCCTGCTCGAAAGGCCGTATCTCGATACCTGCGGTGCCTGTCACAGGTATTAGCATTTTCTATGTGTTTGTTCATTTCATTCTCAGCACAACCCTCAGAGACAGATACAATTACTATCATCCCATTTGCAAATGAAGAAACTGAGGCTCTGAGAGTTTTTAGTTAACAAGTTCAATGCCATACAGCATATAAGAGGTTCCCCTCAGTGCCTGGCTCTCTATAGGGTGCCCACTCCATTATCCTGGGGGCAAACCCAGGCCCACTTCCAGATTTCAGATTCCATCACCCCCCCCCCAGATCCCTGTGCTGGAGGGTATCCACCAAAGAGCATTACAGGAGCCCATTACACACAGAGCACCACTAGGGTTACAGGCCATGAAGACCCAAGCCCTGTCTTCTGTGGGGGGCAGACAGGCTGGTGGCAAACACGGATCTGCGGTGCAGTGAGTGTTCAGGCAGCACTTGATTCTGATTCAGGCTGTGACTTTGGCCATGGCACTGACCTCTGGGTCTTGGTTTCTTGTGCAAAATAAAGCAGGGAAAGGTTGCTATCCTCAACCTTGCTGGTCTCTGTGGGCTTCAACACTCTAAGCTCTCCTGAGTTCAGGGGAAAGTGAAGTCAGACAAGGGTTTAAACCCTAACTAAGCTGTTAGCCATCAGTCATGTTAAGCTCAGCAAATTGTCTGATTTTCTGCTCCTCTTGTATAAAATATTCACCTTAAATTTGGATGGAAGGGTCTTGTGTGCAGCCATATGAGACAGTTTTGAAAATGATGGGAATCATATCTATAAATGACAAGCATTCAGATGGATTTGTAGTTTCGAGGAGTGATTTCTCATTGCTCCAGGATTTAAGCTGGGTCTTGAAGAGAGGCCATTTTGGAAGGTAAAGAAGAATCTGCTAGGTGTGGGCTCCAGCCTTGGAGAATGGCTTCCAGTTTCTCACTGCCTGGACTCTGTTCCCTATCCCCATTCCTAGCACAGTGCCTTCCACAAAATAGAGCATGAATGTGTGCATGGATGAGAAGATGGATGGATGAATGTACATGAGGATCACATGAAGGACTAATGAAAAGATGAGAGAGGATGGCTGATGGGTGGGTGGGTGATAAGCAGAAGGTTAAGAGTATGGAAGCATGAATGGGTGGGAAGGTGGATGGCTAAGAGGATGGATATGGACAAGATGGGAGGAAGGTTGGATGGGAAGATGATGGACATATAGTCAGATAAAAGGATAGATGACCGGATGGATGAGTGGAGAGATGGTTGGACAGATGAGTAGCTACAAGAATGGGAGAATAAATGGAAAAGATGGATGGATGGATGGATGGATGGATGGATAGATGGATGGATGGATGGATGAATATGGATGGAGAATGGTTGGCAGGATGCATGACTGAATGGGAAGGTGGATAGATTTGAGGAAGGATGAAGGGAGTAGTAAAGAGGGGGCTTTGGAGCACCTCCACAGTATCCCAGCACCTGAGCCCCACTGCACCCCACCTCATGCCTCCTCAACCTCTAGGCCATCGGCTGGAGTATCACCCTGCTGTTGATTGTGGCGGCCTTCCTGGCCCGTTGCCTGAGGCCCTGCTTCGACCAGACAGTCTTGCTGCAGCGCAGATACTGGAGCAACTACGTGGACCTGGAACAGAAGCTCTTTGATGAGACGTGCTGTGAGCATGCCCGGGACTTCGCGCACCGCTGCGTGCTGCACTTCTTCGCCAGCATGCAGAGTGAGCTGCGGGCTCGGGGGCTGCGCCGGGATCTGGGGGAGGAGCCCCCTGAGCCCCTAGTCGACCTGGATGGCCGAAGTGGGAAGGCACACCTGCGCGCAGTCTGTAGCCAAGAGCAGGTGGACCACCTCCTAAGTACCTGGTACTCCAGCAAACCTCCACTTGACCTTGCTGCATCCCCGGGGTTCTGGGGGGCTGGCCTCAGCCACCGTGCACCCATGGTGTCTCCAGGCACAAGGCTGTCCCAGCACACTGATGTGTAGGGACCCTGCCAGGCTTGAATGGCAACAGTGCACCCATGTGAAATGCCCATGTTGACACCCATGTTCCAAGGCCTTAGGACCCCAGGGCAGACAGTCTACCCTCATTGGCCTCCGTCTCAAATGGTCCAGTCTCGACCTAGCTTATGAATGTGGGTTCTAGTCAAATGCCAGTTCTGATTCAATGCATCCAGGACTGGACCACAGAATCTCAAAACAAGCTCTTGAGTAATACTGATGTTTCTGGTCAGTGGACCAAACCTGTGTATCATAGATACTGTGTGTGTGTACAATATGTAACAACAAATCCCACCATTATATACAATTATAATGCACTGATTTTAAAAATGAGGGCGGGGGGAGTCTAAATAGAACTGTTATGGGTTCTGGGTCCTAGATGTTGATTTTAAATAATAAAAATAATCATAATAGCACATGCTTATTTGGTGACTATTATGTGTCTGGCATTGTTCTAACTTCTCTATGTATATTAACTCATTTAATCCTCATAATAACCTAATGAAGTAGGTATGAGTATAAGCCCAAGTTTTTAGAAGAGAAAACTGAGGCCTAAAGAGGCTAAGTTGCTCAAGGTCACCCATGTAGGAGCTGGAATTGGATGCCAGGAGGCCTGGTTCTGGAGTCTGCTCTGAGCTACCACATCAGTCTGCCCTCTAGACCATTTGGTTAGTTGGTTGGTTGGTTGGTTGGTTGATTGGTTGGTTTTCAATGCCCTTGTTGGGTTTCCTAAAGCTTCTATCAAGGTTAGTTCATAGAAGTTAGCTTCTATCAGTAAGTTCTAGTAAGCTCTGCCTTTGAGTTCCTCTAGAAAGCCCTAGTTAATGCCTCTTACTGGCCTCTCAATGAATTGTTTCTATTTTCCTGTTGAGTGTATTTTTCTGTGTTTCTATGTCAAGGGGGTTATTATGTGTAGCTACTACTTTCCCAGCTTCTACAGTTCTGTTTCCAGCCAACCAATGCTGGGACCTTTCCTCAGTCTAGCCTTCTCTTCCCCTTCACCTGGCAGGAACTGCCCCCCTCACATTCCCACTCACCTCCACCTCCCTAACCCTCAGCCTGACCCCTGAGCTCAACACAGTCCTATATATTACCCCTTCCAGGGCTTTCCATGCTGCCCTCACTGAGAGGTTGGCCCCTGGCCAGCAATGTCCAGAGCCAGGTATGGGTGTGGGATCTATCTCAGGACCAAAAGTCCCTGAAACACCAGTGTCAGATCTGCAGGGAAAACTGTCACTCACTCTCCAGAAACTTAACAGGAAGAGTTAGGGGAAGATCTAGTCTTTCAGAAACCCAGGGCCTCCTCTGCCCCTCCCTGATGATTCATCCAACACACAACACACACACACACACACACACACACACACACACACACACACACACCCCTGCCTTTGCCAGAACAGATGATTGCTAAACACGTGCAGAGCTGGGTTCTCTCAAGGCTTTTATACTTCCTTAGGGTCCCCTGGACAGTACAGAGGCCCCTGGAAATCTCCCCTGGAGCCCAGCTCCCTCCGTCCTGGCCATCTCTGCTCTCCTGGGCTCTTGCCAAGGGATCTTGTGAGAACAGAAAATCTCTGCAGCCCAGCTCCCACCACCTCCTGATGTGGTCAGGCCATGCAAATGTCTGAAATGGCACTAGGGTAGGGCATGATTTAGGCAAATTGCTACAGCAATTGAAGAAGAGGGTGGGGATGAGAGGTGGCATCCTGACCAGTAGGTAGGTGACATTACGGCCTATGTTCTGGCCCCTACATACTTTCTTTTATTAAAAAAAAAAAATAAATATATATATATATATATATATATATATATATATATATATATATATATATATATATATATATATATATATATATATATATATCCCAGCCCACATGCTTTCTTTCAAAAAGCAGTTTACCCAAAGCCATTCTCGCTCTGCTCTGATTTAAGTCAATAGGACACTGCATTCCTTGACCAAAAAACCTGTTAGCCACAGAATTTAAAACTTCTCTCTGCTATAAGAACACAGATCAGGAGCTGGGGCTGGGGCTCAGTGGTAGAATACTTGCATAGCATGCATGAGGCACTGGGTTCGGTCCTGGGCTCCACATAAAGATAAAGAAATAAAATAAAAGTATAAAAAAAAAACCCACACAAATCACCCTGAAGAGGGGACTTTTGTGAACTTTATGCAGAACAAAAATTCCAACGCCCAGGAGAATAGGATAATTAAAAGCAAAGCAGACCTACTGAAGAGGCACCCCCTTTCTCCACAGAAAAGTCATAACCGGGCTTCTCCAGAAATCTTCATCATAGCTGATTTTAGGACTGTCAGCAAAAGAGTCTCTGCAAAAGAGTTCAATGTAGATAAACTTCCTATTTTCATGTTGCCCTGTTTTACTTGGCCATTGGCCGGGAAGAAACCAGCACTCCAGGTGTGCTGGACACCCCTTACTAGTTACCCACAAACATATCCAGTATACTAGTTTGTAAAAATGTGTAAACAAGGCCTCTGGCCTTGAGCTGGGCTTCACAGAGATGTCTACATTTGTAAGATAAGAGAAGTTACCACTTGGGCTCCATGGTAACAGCTGGCAGGGGGAGGAAAGAAAGGGGAGAAGAAGCTCTCCCCTTCTCAGGTGTTGTCCTTGAAGGGTTTACTTGCCCAGAACAGTAAAGAAAAAGCTGCTTTTATGTGAACTTCTGCAGACTGTGAACTTCTGAGCCCCTCCCCTTAATGCTGGGTATAAAATTCTGAAACTACCTGAGCTCAGGGTTCAGGGGATTGACTGATCACAGCAAAAGCTGTGCCCTCTGAGCCTGGCTGCAGCCAAATAAAACTGTTTCCTGCTATCTTTGGTGCCTTGCCTCGTTTGTCCCTACAACACTACCATAAAATCTATAAAAGCAAAATCAAAAAAAAAAACAAGTTCCAGTTAGAATTAGTCAGCCTGGGCCAAGATGACCAAGAGTTACATTTAGATATTTAACATCTCATTTTAATCTTATTATCATAGCAAAATTTCCCCCTCCCCCACCATGAGTTTCACTTGAGTACCTGTGGTAAGACCATGTACAGTAGGGATTTTATAATCTGATGCAGTCCTACTGTCAATCAAAAGTTAAGAGGTGGGGGCTGGGGTTGTGGCTCAGTGGTAGAGTGCTGGCCTATCATGTGTGAAGCACTGGGTTCGATCCTCAGTACCACATTAAAAATAATAATAATAATAATGGTACCATGTTTATCTACTATGACTAAAAAAAATTTTAAAAACTTTGTATTAAGAAAAAAAAAAAAAAAAGAGGTGGGCCTGTAATCCCAGCTGCTTGGGAGGCTGAGGCAGGAGGATTGCTTGTTTAAAGCCAGACTCATCAACTTAGTGAGGCTCTGAACAAGACACTGTCTCTACATAAAAAATAAAAAGGGGCTGGGGTTGTGATTCAGTGGTTAAGTGCCCCTGGATTCAATCTCTGGTACAAAAAAAAAAAAAATTGAATTAAGAGATGGTACCTGGATGAGACTTTCTAGAAACTTCTCTAAGACCCCCCATAAACCTAGGGAACAAAGGAGATCACCCTCTCCTTTTAGGACTTCTTTCCTTTCTCCTCTGGTATACTTTGCTATACTTTTATTACATTTTGTGTCCTGTTTCCTGTCTTGCTTGAAATTTTCACCTCTTAGTGTACAAGAGTCACTATCCCCAAGAAGCTCATTGTCAATTTGGTGAACAGGGATGGTGCAGAAAAAGGGGTAATCCAGAATGAACAGTGCAATATAATGGAGGAGCCATGTGCCTTTGATTTTGCAGGGAGAAGTAAAGTTCCAAGCTAGGGGACCAAGGCAGGCTCCGCAGTGGAGGTGCCATTTGAATGGTCTTGAAGGATGGGGAAGTTTTTGACATATGAAAAGAGAAAAGAGGAGAGAGTGCAGAGGAAGCCCAAGGGAGGGAACAGCAAGAACCAAGGCTAAGAGTCTGGTGAAGGGCTGGGCCAATTGCATTTTCTCATTCAGCAGACATTTATTGAATGTTTAGAGACCCAGAGAGCAAGACAGACATGCTCCTGTCTTACTGGAGCTTCTGGACAGAGAGATAGAGACAGGGCCGTGAACACACAATCAAATAAGGTGACAGTCCATCCTGGCAAAAGTAGAGGGCCTTGGCCAGAGGACTGAAGAGTTCAGCCCATAGTCAGGATAGACAGACAGTAAAATAGGCAGCAGTTAAGTGCAATAAAGACTGCTCTAAATGTAAATGTCACTCCATGAAATTAACCTGGAAAAAATTCCAAACATACCAGCCAACTCTCGTGTCCTGGAGCTGCTGGATAAGGGAAGTGGGATGCACTGAGTGAAGGCTTCAGACTCAAGGGCTAAAAAGGGCACGACCACCAGGCATGGTGGCGCACGCACCTGTAATCCCAGTGGCTCTAGAGGCTGAGATAGGAGGATCGCGAGTTCAAAGCCAGCCTCAGCAAAAAACAAAGCACTAAGCAACTCAGTGAGACCCTGTCTCTAAATAAAATATAAAATAGGGCTGGGGATGTGGCTCAGTGGTCAAGAGCCCTGAGTTTTATCCCTGGTACCAAAAGGAAAAAAAAAAAAAAAAAGGGCACTAGCGACCAGAAGGTCACAGGCCAAACCAATAGCCTTGGTATTTTTCCAATACCTGATAAACATACATAGTGATCAATGCACCTACCTGGCAGCCATATTAACCTCCAGACTAGCACACCTGAATGGCAATCTCCTATAGGGTTCCCTCTCGCCTGGTGAGAGCTCTATTTCTTTTCTTCTCATTTGCAAAAAAATTCTACTCTTTCATCTCATTCTCCATTGTCTGTGGGTTTTGTTCTTAAAATTCACAAGAACCCGAACAGATACTGGCAGGCGACTGGGGTCTGCTGCAAAGGTAAGCGGGCATTTCTGCTGTGGAGGGCTGCAGCACCATCCCCACACAGGTCCCTCTCACGCTGCCTAGGAACCAGGTCCCCAGGGCTGAGACCAGCCGCTAACACTGAAGGGCACCCCCAGCTGTGAAGAGGCCCTCCTGCAGCAAAGGGCTGTGACCCCAACAGTGGCTACAGCAACCGAGGCCAGGAACCAGGTTTCAGCAACACATTTTCAGGATTCTCTTCTCTGACATCCTTTGAAAGCATTGCCCACCTTCTTCAGTCCTTAGATGATGTGGTTTCCAAGCCCCAACCTCTTTTCCACATTGTATATAAAAGCAAGAGGCCTGGGGCATGGATGCCACCCCACCAGAGAGTAAGGGACACAGGTAGCAGGCTCTCACCTGGCTCCTAAAGATCCTCCTTCCTCAGGAAAGCCACTGTCTTGGGAACCCAAGCTCATTTTCCAAGCCTCAACCAATTTTGGATTACAGTCCACCCCATACCCCCCGCCCAACTGCTCCCTACCACTGACTTCATC